GTAATCAACAGATTATTCGATTTACTAAATAATTGTGGCAGCCCTACTTTCAGACGCTTCACCTTCCTGACCTCCTGATGGCGCTCCATGCTCCATGCAGGGCAGCGGTGGCTGCAGCTAGCTCGCCGCCATCAGGGCCACTAAATGTAAATAAATAGTTTTGGTCTCCAGACTAGAAAAAGAATAAGTAACAGCTTTTATTGAAGCATTAACTTCTTAACTAAACATTTAGCTAGCACCAAGCTAGCTAAATATTTAGTTTGTTAAATAAATATTTACCTAAATAATAGTTAGCTTCAAACTTAATTTATCTGTAAGCTAACTATTATTTAGCTAAATATTTATTTAACAAACTACATAGTTAGCTAACCGTCATTCTTAATATTTAGTTTGGATCTATCCTCCATTTTGTTCCACTTTATCGGGGGCCGGGTCGCGGAAGCAGCGGTCTAAAGTCGGGCATACGCTGCACGATTTTTTTAATGGTTGTGCGCAGACGCAGCTGAAGATACTGATTAGATAAAAATAATCAGTCGTCTCTGTGACTTAGTGACGCAAAGATGACGTCACATTTTCCCTCATTTCATGTCATTTCCTGAGTGAATTTGGCTTCAGCTGAGCTCACAGAGCTGATTACTCTGGATCTGTTCTGTTCTTTCCCCATCCGATCATTGTATAATTTACTGTCATTTTAAGATTTAATTTATTTAAGACAATAGTAAAAAGTTTTTAAAAAGTTCCTTTTCTACATTAAGGTAGCTTTAAAATCAAGATGGCACGTATTAAAATAAACATAATAAAATGAAGGAACAGTAAAACAACAATGAACTAAAAAAACTTTAAAAAGAAATGAAACAATGAGCTTAATGATCCTCCTAAGTATTATTTATCAGTTACAGATGGTGTCTCCAGTTACCCTGCAAGGAGCTTTTCTCCAGGTCATTATAAGAACATGAACATCTGCTGAGGCATTTTAAAGAGTATTTATCAAAGTTATTTATCCTGGCCAGATATTTGCATGTAAATCCACTAAAGACCATGAATTGTTCATCACAGCCTCCTGATATGGAGAATCAGCCTCTAAGGCCAAAATAAATCCCATTAAAGAATGTGGCTCTTGTTTTTCTTTTTTAATCAAAGACAATATAAGAAAATTACCTTCCCTGCAAAGATGAAGCCTAAAGGCCTGGATGAGTCCAAGCAATAGATCTATATCTACCATTAAACAATAAACAGTTAGGATCAGTAAAAGCAGCCAATAGCAGACAGCAAAGAACGAGACAAGGCTCTGAAACATAAACTTGTACTTTTATTTTTTTATGTTTTCATGGAAACATGACAATTAATGACCTTGTTGAAAGCAGATGTGTTCAGGTTTAACATGGTTTCCTATTTGGGGTAAAACACTGCGAACATGTTCTGAATGGGTGAACTTCTCTGGGCTTTTCCTCTTCAACTGTTCATCTCTCCAAATGACCTGTGTGACGGAACAAGTCCGACTCAAACTATGGGATGCATCAGTGTTAGGTTTGAAAACGTAGGTTCATAAAAGAGAAACTGAGTCTACACAGAAGAGGCATTTTTAACGGCTTCTGCAGAAGGAGAGAGCTACATTCAGCTACATCTACTCTCTGACTGACTTCCTCTGCAGACGCCCTTTTATTAGCAGATCATAACACATGGGGTGGGTTACAGAATAGAGAGTTCTTCTGCAAGGCAATTGATCAGGTCATTGGACAGAATGCTCCTCTGAGTGAATCACAGAATAGAGCGGTCTCCTGATAACTGATTAGCCTTGCACAAACATCAGCAATTTTCCACCACCGTTGCATGACAGTTTGCAGTAAACAGAGTGAAGCATCTCATTTCTCCAATGTTCCATATGTACACACATTAACTTTATAATCATCATGAATAAACCTAACAATCAGCTAACAGACAGAAACCAAAAGACCGGATCCTGGACAAGACTAAAAGTCCAAGGAAAAGGTTTAAAAGGTCTTTAGGAATCCTGTAGAACCTCTGATCCAAACTACAACAGGAAAAAAACAGGATAAAGCTGAATTTATGAGCATCGAGGAGTTTAAGAAACATGTAAATATTCACCAAAGAACCTTTTTGGACCAGAAGTCCTGGAAACCAGGGGGCGCTGACTCAGCAAAAAGATGGAAAACAGGCGTGTTTATTCACACGGTTCCATCAAATGTTCTCTGGATGCATTAAAGACAAACACAGAAGAACCAACTTTAGTCACAATAATCAGATGGATTCCAGCTTTAAATGCATTAACATTTATTTAATCCATGCAGGAAGAACAAAAGACACAATAATGATGAAAATAAAAACAGCATCATTGTAATGAAGAGATGACGTCACTGATGTCCTCCAATGGCGTCTTTCTCCAGTTTAACTTCAGATTTAATCTCCAGCTGGAGCAAAGGGGAAGCAGTGGACCCAGCAGAGCCGCGCTGATCAAGGATCCCAGCAGGACGACTCGCTCCAGCTGCTGCTGCTTCACTCTTCACTGGAAACATGGCTGCCATCGACATCTTCATCTTCATGAAATGACTGCTGCTCTGCAGACTATCAATCCATTTGTGACTGCGTCTATGATTGGATCGGATCAGCGCCGTGGGAAACAAGGCTCCGCACTTGTCGCACTGGTACCCAGAGTGAGCACGCTGGTGGAGTTTCAGAGACTTTGGATGACTAAAGGCTGCATCACACTGCCCACATTGGAACGGTTTCACATCCAGGTGGCTATACATATGCATCTTCAGACCCGGGCTACCCATGAACGTTTTGTCGCACTTGGAACAGGCGTAGGGTTTCTCTCCGGTGTGACTGCGCCGGTGATGTTGCAGACCCAATAAAATGGAATAACTTTTCCCACACAGGTCACAGGCGTACGGCTTCTCCCCAGTGTGTATCCGTCTATGGGTGGTCAGGGAACTCAAGACTCTAAAAGATTTCCCACAATCGTCACACTTGTAAGGTTTTTCTCCTGTATGGATCCTCTTGTGACTCTGCAGAGAGTTTAGGTATGGGAATGAAACTCCACACTCATCACAGCTGTACGGTTTCTCTCCGGTGTGAATACGCTGGTGGATTTTTAGCCCTGTCAGCTGTTTGAATGAGGAGCCACAGTCAGCGCAGGTGTAGGGTTTCTCCTCGCTGTGAACAACCTGGTGGGCCTTCAGCCTCTGGGCTGATTGGAAGGCTTTACCACAGAGTTTACAGCAATGGGGCGTTGGTCCACTTTTCTTTTTACGTTTCTGTTAAACAGAAAAAAAAAAAGAGAAATCAGTGGAGCTAATTTATACCAATATTTAACAATGAAAAACACTGAATGCAAAGAGGGAGTAGATATGAGACCAGCTCTAAACATGACTCCATGTCTCCAGTCAGAGAAAACAGAATCTCTGCTGATTGCAGAATCTACACTTTTATTTATACTGTTTTTGGGAAGAATAAGAGCAGAATTCAGGATACTGTGTAAAAATACTCCACATAAAACTAATGCAGGCTCTACTGTTTGACTTTAAAGCTGCCAATATTTCAGCCTCAGAGAGCTACGCCTCCCTGTTACAGGGATATGTACCTAAAGCTTTTAAGGTTGCTGTAATTAAACCTCTGCTTAAGAAACCGTCTCTTAAACCAGATGAATTGGTCAATTATAGACCTATATCCAATCTTCCTTTCTTATC